CGAGTTGGTGTGCGCAGATGATGCGCCCCCGCCGAAGCTCCCCCTTTACGTTGTCGTCAAGTTTGAAGGGTACTCGGGGGGGGAATGGTCGTCTCAGGAGAGGTATAGACGTTGTGTCCCTATTTCTCCCGTCGACACCACCTGGCAGGACGGGGGGACGCAGGTCAGGACGCAGCTGCCCCTTAGGCTCTGCTGGGCAATTACGATGCACAAGTCCCAGGGGCAGACTTTAGCCAAGGCCGTCATTGACTTGGGGCCCAAGGAGGCCTGCACGGGGCTTACTTTCGTCTGTCTCAGTAGGGCGAAGAGACTTGTGGACCTCATGGTAGAGCCCATGAGTTTCGACAGGATTGGTAACCTTGGAAATTCGCCGACGATGAAGGCTAGGCTGCAGGAAGAGGTTAGACTTGGGGAGTTAGCACAGAGTACGAGGGTCAAGTACACGGACATGGGCGTCTTCAGCGCCGTCGCGGGTAACCAATGACGTGAATTGCAAAGAGAAAAAGAAGAAGAAAGGGTCTCTTCCACCTCCCGCGGACGCACACGTCTGACGACAGTTACATCTATCAGCTGTCGCTCGTTTTAGCGACAGCTACTATATCTTTTTTGAAGAAGTTAGACCTCACGACCCCGCCCTCCTCCGGGGCGCTCAAACCCCCATCATTCGCTGTCCAACGTCACGGAGGGAACAGCGTAAAATAATCATACTGGGATGACACTAAGTTGAATGCATGCATGCAAAAGTTCGACAGCAACCAACCAGTTCTGTTTCCGAGGCAAGAGAGGGCGTAAAACGCAAGAGGTCGATCTAGTACTTCACCAAGAACCTGACTTTCTGTTTTCGCTTCTCTTTCTAGGAAGGAGTACTTGTACAGCAGTGTACTAAAAAGCTGCTGTACAACAGCAGTAGTACGCACATGTATGTCAAGTGGGCGGCGGACAATTGTTTCTTCGTATCATACGAGCAGCACCACCGTTCACTCGTCACGCTTTTCGCGAAGCGAACACGCATGAACTGCTGTAGATATCATACGCTGTAGCGTAACCACCCCGGGGATGATAAGGCACGGTCCCCTAAACATAGTGATCCTTTTTTTTTTCAGGCGTGCCTCGCGTGGAGCGGCAAGCACGCGTCGCCGGGGCTGCGCAGTATCACACTCGTCGGCGCCGCCAAATAAAAAATAACCCCCCCGCCCCCCGCTGCAAGCAAGCGAGAGACCTGCGGAGCTCGCGGAGAAGTTCGCCAAAGGGCCGGAGCCGAGAGGGACACAGCAGCGCGCGCGCTGGCTGACAAGCGGGGAGAAAAATATGCCTCGTACGAAATGCCCCGTTCAGGGATGTGGGAAAGAGCCGAGCTTCGGCGTTGCGGGCACCAGGTACACGGACCTCGCGATCCCCCTTGTAGAGTCCCGCAGTTGTCGCGCACGCAAAGGGAGTACGTATGTAGGCGTCGTCGTTGGCTCCATCACGGGACTCCTCGCCCCCGCTACTATATATCTTCTCGCAGTGCTGTCCCTTGCACGGCTCCCGCGAGAGCCAAGAAGGGACGCGCATGAACCACCCACTTGCGTCACAACAAAATTGGTGTTGGTGGTTGGAACCGAAAAGCTCACAGCACTGCTCTCCCAGAACCCGTACCTGCCCAAAAACCTTTGAAATCAAGCAGTGCTTACCGCTGCTGTGAAAACCACTCTGTCTGGCGGCAGCGGTTGAACACAGCGCTAGGTATCGCTGTGGCGGGCACATGGTATACGGTTAGGTACTGACCAGTTCCAGATGCTTTGGCTCGGGTTGATGCAACGCCTTTTTTTTCCGAAGGGTCGTCTCGTCTCTCTGCAGACAAAGAGTGACTAAAAACAGAGGCGGAAAAAGGCAACGGTTTTCTCTCTGGGCAGCACATGAGCACATTCAGAAGGCGAAGACCTTGCTCTCTCGCTGATAGTGTAAGCATTTACCGCAGGGAAACTCCTCTGTATGATCCGGGATCGGAGCCTTCCGATCGGAGAGACCGGCAAGACCGTTGTGTCGTAGTTAAACCGGGAGGCGGGCTATCAAGAGCGGCGAAGAGAAAAACAACACACGGTCAACAAAAATACGAATCCCAGCACACACCGAATGTCGACAGTTCGCCTATTATGCTTTCTTTGTCCGCGAGAGCGGAGGGGGAAGCACACGTCTTACGCGAGTCGAACTTGAAGCATACAGCAGTCATACGGATTTCATTGTGAACCCTGCAGCCAGCGATAATTGTCAAACAGACCATGGCGACGAGAGGTTGATCTTCTTGTCCCTCTGCGATACAAGTGTTTTTTTTTGGACAAGACCCAAGTTGCACGGCACACAGGCTTCTCACCACATATATAAATATGCATATATTACGAAGTATTTTTTTTTTTCTCCATCTTTGGACTCTGTCGTCTGCCCCTCTGGCCCCTATCATCCACTTCTACTAGCTAGACGACCCAACGAGGGTCACACAGGAGGGGGGGGTTGGACCCCCTCCTGCGGTTCCTGCCTGAGATATGTTTCTCGCGAGAAGGGTACAGCGATCCCTTCCCTCGCGACTTGCGAAGTCGATTATGGTTTACCAACAACAAGCTATGCAGCGCGTCGCTTTCATCCTAGACCAGGATTTGTTTGTTGGTCCGTTGTTTTTTGTCTCCCTCTCTCTCTCTTAGTCTAAGATAAAAGAGATGACGGCCGTCTACTTGAGACGGGATTTACGGGGTTGTTTTTGGACATGGTGCCGCGACGCTCTCTTCGGATATATCGATTCCAAGATCTCCCGTGATGGGGTCTAACGCACCAGCAGACGTTTTCCTTCTCTTAGTGCCTCTCCCTGGGGGCTCGTTTGAGAGCATGATTTGTAGCCGGCTCAGTTACATGGTGCTTGCGCGTTTTGGTTTTGCGGTTTGTGTGCTACGAAGAAAGAACAAAAAACGTTCCCCCCCCCCCATCAGTGAGGACTCAATTCACCGGCAAACGCTACATTATCTCTCTTGGAAGTTGGAATCAACGACGATGCTCGGTAATACACGAGCCATCATGTTTTTTTCCCCCCTTTTCCGCGCGTTGTCTGGTTTGATAGTGCATGTTTACCTCCCAAATACTTGTGAACACTGCCACAGCGCGCTTCGAAAATGTGTGCTTGTCGCGTGCCTGGTACGTGCCAACTTGCAATGTACGTCAACTTATTGGCTGGCAGATTGCTAACTAATTTAACCTCACTTTTGCTGCTTTCT